TATGGTGTCACGGGTGAACGAGGTCGCGAAATCGGTCGGTTTGTTCATAAACTCTCGGAAGACCAAAGTGTTTTAATGCTGCATCCCTGCCCAAGATAAGGCACCTCTCGAGATTAGTGGCTGTCAACCTGAAGAAGTAGACGGTTTCAAATACCTCGGAGCGAGGTTGCTGCCGAATGGACAGAGTAAAGATCGCACTGCCTCCTGAATCGACGCAGCACGACGAGTGTTCTCCAGCCTTCGAAAGTGCTTATGGACCCGACGCGATATTTTTATCGCCACAAGGATCCGCATGTACCGTGCATCTGTGTGGTTCGTTCTTCTATAGGGATGCGAATGTTGGGCTATGCGCCTAGAAGATGAACGGAAGCTAGAAGTCTTTGACCATTACGGCTTGAGGAGCATCCTTCGAGTGCAGTACACCGACTTAGTCTCTAATGAGACAGTCCGCACTCGCTGCGATAAAACCACAAGGATATCCCAGGCTATTCAGGGAAGACGACTGAGATGGTTTCGATACGTTCTTCGTCGTCAGCCTCAGGAGCTCACTGCCCTTGACCTGAAACCATTACCTAATTTGAAACGTCTAAGAGGGGGTCAACTCCAAACTTGGCTCGACTCAGTCCGTCAGGACATGGAAGCGGTTCTCGGACCTTCTGTATTCGGTCTCCGGCGCTGGAGAAGCGACTGGACAGAACCCCCAGATCCGCTGCCGTCAATCGTCAGACAAGGAGAGGTACCGTCCGTGACATTATCGAGGCCGGCTAGATCAGGCATGATCACAGCCATGACAAGTACACGTAAAATTACTACCTATGTTTTTTCTCAAATCTTCTGCTCAGTAGGAATCACCCGGGAACATCTCTATGAAACCTTAGAAAACAGTCTGTTTGTTATCTAATTTGTGTACAGGGAGTTTATTAATCACAAAAACTCGCACTTTTCTTAGAAAACAAACATTAACGTTAAATATACATATATGACTCGCAAGCAGGAAACTGAAAATAAAATGGCTGTCACAGCAGTCAAAATTCATAAAATAAGTATACACATATCTTATAACCTCACTCTTCAAGATTATGAGGACATGCGATTTCCGTTTCAGGGATCCGCATTTATCATTATTCGAATAATGCGCATAGTAAACTTCCGATACTCGACTAACCAAGACAGCAATCCCTGTTTAGAATATACTTGACAAACTTATGCACGAGCTGAACGAA